GCACCCTTTGAACATCCCCATTTGATTTCAGGTCCCTCAGTTCCCCCTCGCATATTTCTCATGTGGCTCAGCGACTATCCTCAACTTCAGTGTATTGATTACAGCCCCCTAGAATGCAATCTCAACCATCCATCTCAGACCCCAAACAATAGTCCTCCACTCAAGTATATCAACCACGGCTCCTTTGCCTTATGATCTTAACTCTCATCTCAGACATTTCACAAAACATAGTATCAATAATGATTTCACACAATACCGTATTAAGTTCATATCCTCTTTTCAAGTTCTAGGCGATCACACAATCACATAAAAGATCCAAACAGCAATCAAACAATCAAGGCGTTTCAAACACAAGTAAAGATTCATTTTAAGTCTCCTACAACTTCAGTTTCAAAACCCTAAACACAACTAGGCGATCACATACCAAACAACAACCTAATAAGACTTAATTGAGACTCAGTTCTAAAGCAGGAATTAGTTTATCCTTGGTTTAACCAAAACTTGACTTTCAGAAAAACAGGACACATAATATTCTAGCACAGATCTATCCTCACCTTGGCCTAGGTGGCGAAGGAGGTGGCGACGGAGGTAGGAAGTAGCGCAGGACGCTAGGTAATCCACGACGGCTAACCATGCTGGGTTGATCCGCTTCCCGGGATGATGCAGCCGCGGTGGCAACAACTGGTGGTTATGGGTAGAGTCCGGCTTGATGTCAACGAGCCACACCGGAGCAGAGTGCTGAGCTGGAGCTGCGACAGGTCCGTCACAGATGTAATGGACGCGCGGCTCCTACGCGGCGGCGGCTGACGATGGCGTCCGGTCTGGGAAAGGACTAAGCTTCCTCAGGCAGCCGGAACGAGCATTAGACAGCAGCGAAGACGAGCGGCGTGACATCGGCAAGGAGAGAGAGAACGGCAAAGAGAGAGAAATAAGAGAGAGAAGGAAAACGGCAGCGGCGGAGAGAGAGAGCTCAGCGGCCGGAAAATAGAAGAGAAGATAGTTCTAGGGTTCTCAGTTCTCTGGAAATTTAGAATGAAGAAAAAGTATGGGAGAGACTCTCTATTTATACCCAATGGGAGACCTGGGTAAAAAATAAAGATAACCATGAAAAAGAAAAGGATAATTATGAATAAGAATATTCACAATTCTTTTAGGAATAAGTTCATTAATATCACATTAAAAATATAATATTTATCTAAACCAGAAATATTTATCTCTCGAAAGAAAAAAAAATATCGAGAAATGGGAATTGGGCTTAAACCGTCTTAGTTTGGGATTGAACTTTCCAAACGGGCCTGGTTTGAAAAACAGGGTCATTACAGTTCACCCTCCCTTAACGAGAATTCATCCTGAATGCTAAAGCATGGTCTCCAGGGCCGGCTTAAGGCGACAAGGTAGACTTGGAGTTCATGCTAAAGAAGGCTAATCGAAATGTTCATAGAACGGAAGACTCAGAAAAGATAATTTCTAAGCAAGCAAAACTTTTTGTTAAAAAAATAAATCAAGCAATTAATCATCACAGGATAGGGCTCTTAATTTAATGTATAATTTAAAACTATCTTAATCTAAAATGAATCCCCCTCCAACACCCAAAGCGCAGCCCTAATCAAGATCGTCTTCAAGCAGCTTCTCCTAACCACGTCTCGGATCGTAGTCATTGTCGCCGGGAACCTCGCATTTAGACGGGTCTGACTCGTATTCACCCTCGTCTTCCTGCCTCAGTTCCTCCTCAATTTCTCAACAAGCCGAGCCATGTTGATGACTTAGCCGATTGACTCGATAAGTCCGCCCTCCTCGGGATAAGGTATACTCTTGCGGATTTCCGGTCTCAAGCCTTCTCGGAAGGCTACGGCCAGGTGAAGATCACAACAAGTGACTCGACCATTCGCTCCCATGTCCTGGAGGTAAGCCATGCAGTACTGCTCTACGAAAAGTCCTCCCTGGCTTATGTGGGGGTAAGCCGGCTGAATATCCGGCCTAACATTTGACGCGGGGTTCTTGCGTGGGCGTCCGTGCTTACGTGTTGGCTGGGCCTCATGGGCCATCACTCTACCAGAAGAGGATCGACACGCGCTCCAAGTTTTACAGCTTCGAGCACATTGGTCGCTAGCGCAGCACAGGCTTTCACCTCCTCCCAGGTTGGCATCTTTCGAGCGGGATGAGCAAGTCGAGCGGGAACCATGCTGATCGGAGTGGTCTGTTTCCGGCATGTCTCGCGGGTATGAGCCATGTTTGGCACGGGAAATAAAAAGCTAAGAGTCAGATGTCAAGTATGCATGGGTGGGCATCATAAAACAGTTGTAAAGCAAGTTAACTGCGCAAATAGGATTTGCAAACAGTAAAACTTTTTAGGACTGACCCTTCGGGACAGAACCGAAGAGTCTTAACCTTGGCTCTGATACCAAACTTGTGACACCCGATCCCGGTCATATAAATTGAACCGGCCAATGTCAAGATAACCGTCTGTGCTAGAAGCCAGACGTGTTATCCTTTTTACAAGTCCCAAAATCCGAAGACGCCTTGTTTAAACTAACAACTCAGCACCATATGCGATACTGAAGCATCTTGACTCACCTAACCTGCTAGAGGGGATAGAGAGAGAGAAGATAGGGTGGAGAGATGAGTAATTTAGATTACCCAGGAGAATAAACTTACATTATCCTATCAATGCACCACAACTTAACAAACACTAAGTTCAAGCCTAAAACTGCACCATAGGAAGTCCTAAAGACTTCACACAATATCCTATCAGTCCTTAGGTAATAACGCCACTGCGAATACTAGAACCACACAATGATGACTTATACCATGGCACTTAGGATGCATCTATTGTAGGAGTATAGTCGCTACACGACTAGCCCGTCGGCCATGCCTTGGGAGTGCTAAGTACGTCTAGACACTCTCCCGTACCATATGAGTATACGCTGCACCCTTTGAACAGCCTCATATGATGTCAGGTCCCTCAGTACCTCCTCGCATATTGCCCACGTGGCTCAGCGACTATTCTCAACTTCAGTGTATCGATTACAGCCCCCGGCAATTCAATCTCAACCATCCATCTCGGACCCCAAACAATAGTCCTCCACTCAAGTATATCGACCACGACTCATTTTCCTTATGATCTTAACTCTCATCTCAGACATTTCACAATACATAGTCTCAATAATAATTTCACACAATACCGTATTAAGTTCCTATTCTCTTTACAAGTTCTAGGCGATCACACAATCACAGAAGAGATCCAAAACAGCAATCAAACAATCAAGGCGTTTCAAACACAAGTAAAGGTTCATTATAAGTCTCCTGCAACTTCAGTTTCAAGACTTAAACACATGTAGGCGATCACTTATCAAACAGCAACCTAATAAGACCTAACTGGGACTCAGTTCTAAAGCAGAAAATAGTTTATGCTTGGTTTAATGCCAAACTAGACATTAAAAAAAGCAGAACACATAATATTCTAGCACAGATTCATCCTCACCTTGGCCTAAGTGGCGAGGAGAGGTAGGGAGTAGCGAAGGAGGCCAGGTGCTCCACGGCTAACCACGCCGGGTTGATCCGCTTTCTGAGCCGATGCAGCAGCGGCGGCGACGGCTGATGGTTGCGGGAGGAGTCTAGCTTGCTGTCAACGAGCCACACCAGAGCAGAGTGCCGAGCCGGAGCTGCGACAGGTCCATCACAGATGTGATGGACGCGCGGTTCCTCCGTGGCGGCGGCTGGAGATGGCGTCCGGTCCGGGAAAGGACTAGGCTTCTTCGGGCAGCCGGAACGAGCATCGGACGGCAGCAAAGACGAGCGGCGTGACATCGGCAATGAGAGAGAGAGAACGGCAAAGAGAGAGAAAGAGGAGAGAGAAGGAAAATGGCAGCGGCGGAGAGAGAAATCTCGGCGGCTAGAAAAGAGAAGAGAAGAGAGTTCTAGGATTTTTATTTCTCTAGAAATTTAGAGTGAAGAAAAAGAATGGAAGAGACTCTCTATTTATACCCAATGAAAGATTTCGGTAAAAAATAAATATAACCGTAAAAAAAAGAATAATTATGATTAAGAATATTCATAATTTTTTTAGGAATAGGTTTATTAATATCACATTAAAATTATAATATTTATCTAAATCAGAAATATTTATTTTTCAAAAAAAAAGAAAATATCAAAAAATGAGAATTGGACTTAAACCATTTTAATTCGAGATTAAATTTTTCAAAAAACCTGGTTTGAAAAACCGGGTTGTTACAATTTTTATCCTCTACATCAATTCTTCGAGCAAATGGTTGTCAAGCTCAACTTTAACTAGTATTTTTGCTTCTCCAATTATTTATGTTACACAGTTACATGTGCTAACTGGTTTTTATAATTATAAAAGAAATAAGTAAAAATATAAAAACTATATCAAAATGGACAATTACATCACCTAACCTAATATCAAATTATATCAATGTTAAAAAAATTCGATCTATTTATTTAACGAAAGAAAACAAAGAAATGAAAAACAATACACGGCTTGACTTATACAATATATCCAAGAAAATTAGTTGAATCATTATTTTGAACAAGAAGAGTCGGTCTATTTTGTTCGCCTGAACGCCATCTTTGGTGTTTAATCTACATATAACAAAAATCTGAAATTTCTCTCATACACAGACTGAGCAAAAGAATCACACCAAAATTAAATATATGTATTCCCCAAAGGCACAAAATATTCGGATTTATTGCTATTAAAGAAAAAGATTATTCGTTTTCACCCGTCACAAGCCACAGCGACTTATTGAGATTCCACATTCCTTCAAAAATTAAACAAAAAGAAAATTCCACATTCCGTTAACTTTAACGATCGTCGTCGTCAAGTACCTTAATTTAGAGACATCATCTATAAACTCTTACGTTCCATTTTCTCCTCCCATATTTGCTGGATCATAGGTATTTGCTTTTTGTTGTTTTGCCTGTAAATCGCTATTTTGTTAATAGGATTATGTCTTTTTCATCTCTAACCATAAGATAAAATCATGAAATTCAAGATTTCCGAAGAAGACAGCGCCATTCGTTTCCCCTCTCCATCTGATTCCCAGGTTCGTTTTCTTGAACACCAAAAATGGGTTTATTCAAATCCTTAATCATGAAAAATCCACAAGAAAGATCAAAATGTTGTCTTCCTTTCTCTAATTCAAGCCTTGGAACGTACGAACAGCTTATGGAATTGGAACAAATCCGCATTTCGAAACCAGACGATGAGGAAGAAACCGAGTCACCATCAAAAACAGAGGAATCACTTCCTCTGTCTTGCGCGTTTACGAGGCAAGAACATTGCATTTCCGAGTCGAAAGAACGCGAAGAATCGATAAAAAGACTGAGCAGCCTCATCTTTCTTTACCTGGTCGTCATGACCGTACAGATCGTCGGAGGTTTCAAGGCCAATAGCCTCGCGGTGATGACAGACGCTGCGCATTTGCTCTCCGACGTGGCGGGTCTCTGCGTCTCTCTGTTGGCGATCAAGGTCTCGAGCTGGGAAGCGAACCCTAGAAGCTCTTTCGGGTTTAAACGTCTTGAAGTTTTGGCAGCGTTCTTGTCTGTTCAGCTCATTTGGTTAGTCTCTGGAGTTATAATCTATGAAGCCATTCAAAGACTTCTTAGTAGAAGCAGAGAGGTTAATGGCGAAATCATGTTTGGGATTTCGGCTTTCGGGTTTGTCATGAACTTGGTTATGGTCATTTGGTTAGGACATAACCATAGCCACCACCACCACCATCATCATCATCATCATAATCATGATCATTGTCACAAAGAGGAGGGGGAAGAGGAAGAAGAAGAGATGGATCCTTTAAAAGGTGGTTTCGAGGAGAAACCGTCGTCGAAGGAGATGAACATTAACATACAAGGAGCTTATCTACACGCGATGGCGGATATGATTCAGTCACTTGGTGTTATGATCGGTGGAGGAATCATTTGGGTGAAACCGGAATGGGTTTTAGTTGATTTGTTATGCACTCTTGTTTTCTCTGCTTTTGCTCTTGCTGCTACTCTCCCAATGCTCAAGAACATCTTTGGGATACTTATGGAGCGCGCGCCGCGCGATTTGGATATAGAGAAGCTCGAGAGAGGGCTTAGACGTATCGATGGAGTTAAGGTTGTTTATGATCTTCATGTATGGGAGATAACAGTTGGGAGAATCGTAATGTCTTGCCATATCTTGCCTGAACCTGGAGCTAGCTCTCAAGAGATCGTTTCTAATGTTAGAAACTTTTGTAGGAAAGCTTGTGGGATATATCATGTAACAGTGGAGGTTGAATCAGAGTAGCAAAAACAGAGAACAAGAAACTTTTAGATTTTTTTTGTTTGAAATATAGAAAGTTATGAAGTCGCATACTAATCGCAAATCTTATTCACATCTAATTGCTAGACTGTTACATTTCAGACAAATTTCTTAGATAACTTTCACACAACACAAGAACTGACAAAAACTAGATACAACAAGAAGGTCACAGTTCCCAATTATTTGTCTGAAATTTGGTAATTGTGATGAACTCATAGGACTAGCAATTGAGACAAGAGCAAATGAATTGTTTTTAGTTATTGAATTAGTGTATCAAAAGAGAGATTAAAGAAAGAAACTTTTAGATATTTTGTTTGAGAAACATGTAAAATTTCACATTCACATCTCAACACATTGTAACTACTAAACTTTCACATTTCAGAAAAAAAATTTAAGAAAACTCTCACACAACAAGAAGGTCACAGTTCCCAAATATTTTTCTTAAATTTGGGAATTTGTGAGCTAAATGATCTCATAGGACAAGAACAAACGGAGATTCTTTGATTATTAGAGACTTATCTTATCAAGGAGATTTGATTTTGAGGCTATCCATGCGAGCTTTGATGTAGCTGAGATATTCATCTTCGGGAGGGATAACATTTCTTAATAACACCGAGTTCCAACAAATTCTTCACCCATCTGTGAATCTCCGGGAACATCTCCACCGGAACAACCTTAACTCCGACGATCTCCTCCGTTCTCATCAGCCAAAACGCGACCAACGTAGCGACGATGTCCACGAACCCTAAGCTTTTCCCACCGAGAAAATCTTTCCCAACCAGCTCTTTCTCCAACGACTTCAGTAAATCTCTCGTGGCTTCAACCACCGCGTCTCTCTCTTCTCCGATCTTCCCCACCACTTTCATCGCCGAGACATAAATCTAAAAATGTACCAAGAACCGGTTTAAACCGGTCAGAATCCGAACCAGTTACAGAAATTGAAAATTTTGTTAAGTGATTCTCATTACCTGTTCATCGACGAATTTGGCCCAGAAACGAGCCGTAGCCCTCTCGTAAGGATCTTGAGGCAGAATTGGGTTGTTTTGCCATGTATCATCGATGTACTCAAGGATCACAAGTGATTCTGAGATTGGTTTACCGTTATGGAGAAGAACCGGAATCTTCTTGTGAACCGGGTTTGATAGGAGTAGCAAAGGGCTTTTGTTGGTGATATCTTGCTCTGAGAATTCGAACGGAACACCTTTGAGTGTGAGAGCTATCTCGATCCGACGGCTGAAAGGACTCGCCCACATCCCCAGCAGCTTCACTTCATCTGATCTCTCCGCCATTATCTCTCTTTAGCTCACTAACTTGCTTCTTGTTTTTGTAGTTAGACTTCTACTTGTTAGGGGTGGGCAAAATATCCGTTATATCCGATTCGAACCGATATTTGTTTTGATCTGATTTGAAAAATTTGGATATCCGTAAAGCTTCGGAGCAAAGTAAATAGCAAAATATAGTATCCGTACAAAACAGAACAAATCATAAATATGTTTTTAGATAACACCGGATATCCGATACGATCCATATTTTTATAAATTTATTATATATTATCATGTATATATCAATTATATTATAAATTTTTATTAATATATTCTCAATTTTCTTCTTAATTTTTCAATTGTTCTTTTGATTATATAAAATAAATGACTAAATAATCATTTATAAAAAATAAATAATATGTTTAAACCTAAAATATGTTAATAAATAATATTTTATTTTATATTAATAAATAAATATCAACAAAAGTTTTTTAGTAAAGTTTAATATTAAAATTTCAAATAGTTAATATTATTTTTAAATATAAAATATCATTTTTCCTCATCTTAATTTTATAGGTTTATTTTTTATAGATTTTTTTATAAAATAAAATATATTTTTTTAGTTATTTTTACTTAATAGTTTAGATGAAATTTTTTGTTTTATAATAAAAATTGATGTACTTTCAGTTTTGTGTATATTAAACGGATCAAACTAAATATTCATTAAATATCCGTAAATATCCGCAAATATTTGCAAAAATTTGTTAAAAATCCAGATATCCGTATATTTCCGGAGCAAATCAAATCATAAAATTAAATATCCGTTAAAAATAGAGTAAATTACAAATACTAAAAAATTTCCGAATATCCGATCCGCGCCCACCCCTAACTGTAGAGCGAGGAATTTATATGATTGCTTGCGTCAAGAAGTCAACGGATGATGATATGATTTTTGTAGCTATAGATTAGAGGGTGAACAATCCGGTTTACTAATTTGGTTTTGCTTTTTCGGTTCTAATTTTCTCGGTTTCATAGAAATTGGACTCGTATTTTGGTTAAGTTTAGGTTCGGTTTGATGTAATTTTAGTTTGGTTTTAGCTCAAAAGTACACATATAAAACGGTTTATCAATGTGTCGGTTTATTGAAAGCTTCTGATTGGTTACATATAAAACGGTTTAGGTTCGGTTTTGATTTCTAATTTGAAGATTATAGGAAGGGTATTTTTTAATAAATTTTGGTTTATCTATTTTGATTTCACGTCACTAGTGACGAAACGGTTACATTGAAACTTTAAATGCGTTAAGAAGATCTTGTCTTGAAACTTTAAATGCTGCTTATAGAAGAAGAACTTTGTTTGTCCCACATCGAAAGGAAGTGGTTTGTGTCGGATGGTTTAAATAGACGAAGCTTTGGTCTAACGTGGCAACGGGGTGGGACTCTAGAGATGGGTCTGCTTATGATTAACTAAACCCTGAACCTTCCCTCTTACCGTTGGGAATTTATACTATTGGGGGTGTTTGGCCGGCGTTTCCCCCGAAAAATAATGAAAAAACGTCGATGGTTACATAAGAGGCTCATCTCCATGTTGAACCATTGGGTTGGGTTTGGTTTGTTAGGTGGTTCTGTTGAAACTTTGGTTAGTGTCTGCGGTAAACCGATTCCTCGCCTTTCCTCCACCCCCAAATTTTCTTAGTGCTTTTTAATAAACTTCGAGCTTTTTTTGTTAATTGGGATGTGTGATGATGAATAAAAAATTACTAAATTTTTATTTTGTATTTTATCATTTTGTTTCCTCTTATTTTAATTGGTATTCCTAACTTTAAATTAGGTTAGTCATTTTTGTCAATGTTCACTGATTTTTTTAATGAGTTCATAGATAAATAAAATTAGACCTTTTGTATTTGGATATTTTAAATTTCAAATTATGTTAGTCATTTTTGTATTTGGATATTAATAATTTATTGGATCATCATCTTTTTAATTGATATTTTAAATTTTAAATTATGTTAGTCATTTTTGTCAATGCTTAGGAGATTTTTTTTCAAATCAACTAAAAAAATACATTAATTTATATTATTAATATACGTACTGCGAATATTTATGACTTTTCAATAGAGATTACTAACTATTTTCCAGGTTCTTTTGTCAAAACTTACAATTTTTTTTACTGCATCAAAACTTACTATTTAGGTTAAGTTTCACTTCCATTTGGGATCAAACACAGGAACTTTAGTTTTATCCCTCTGAGATAGCGTGAACTGATGAAAAAACATACTTTTCATCAACCACATACCAAAAGTTACCTTTAAAAGAAATCTTTATTTAGTAAAAGGCAGATAACAAGCTTACAAACATAAAATATTACATTGATCACTGGACTATAATAGATACCGATCATTTGGATCGACCATATCTCCAAAATTGGAAATTCCACTGAAAAACCATATGAAGCTTATCATTGTGCGGTGGTTTTATTCTTGAGAGCACAATTCTAGAAAGATCGTTCTTTAGAAAAACATAATGGATTGATGTTGGTAACGATGGCAATAATCATTACAATCTATTAAGGTTTATTTTTGGCTCTTTTGATTAGACAATTGACTCTTACGAGCCATAGGCTTAGGTATATAGCTTTTACTCAAACAGTTGGAAATTGATGGACATTACATAAGATCTGACTGTGGCTAGACCAATAAGGTTGTTTTAGTGGAGAGGAATGCTATACTCAAGAAATTCTTTGTCTAGACTTTTGACTTTGTCCAGAAAGTGCACTTCAGCATTATTTTCCATTGGAGGAGGCAGACTTTAACTAATATATCAACATCACAGAGAAGTGAATACTGAAGTATGGATCAATTAAAAGAATCTAGGAAACAATTTCGTTTTACTCAAGAATAATTGGAAACTCTTCGTCACAATTTCTCTATGTAACAAACTTTTGATGAGCTTTTCTTAAGTAATTTGAGTATCTGAATTGGATTTTTGGATCCGAATAAAATACTCAGCCCTAGGCTCTAGTCATAGGAATCGATATGTTATGTTAGGGAGTAGCAAATTACTGGAAGACTGTGAGTGTAATTTGAGAGAAAACTAGGCTGGTGGAAGACTAAGCTATTTGAGGTTAGAAGACCTGATTTACTTGTTTTCAAAGGAGAGAGTTTCTTCATCAAGAAGAAGAAGATTCTGATGTTCTCTGAAGAAACAATAGAAGATGAAACAGTTGCTGCTTATGTAAAGACAATCTCACTTGATGGGATTCAAGAGTTTCGGAGTACACAATTCAGGAAAACTTCCCCTTGCATCAGCTGTGTTTATGCACTCAGCTTGATCCCAATCCCTTAGAAGTGAGTTAACACATAAGCCTCACTTTGAGATGTAACTCTGCTTTGGTTTTTTCTTATTAAATGAATTGTCTTTTGTCCTGTGGCTTCAGTTGAGGAAGGAGATTCATCAACAGTGGACTCACACAAGAGAAGACAATCCGATAAAGATGTATTCAACAATCAGATATTAGAATTTTCACAACTGTAAGTAGTATTAGTATTAGTGGTTGACAGAGTTTGATCGTAGACTATCCCATAGTTCGTAGATTGATGGAGACTATATCAAAGTATTAGTCTGTTCTTGAGTCAAACAAAGTCTTCTATTTCATGCAAAACAAACGATTTTTTTTTCAATACCCTCATTAGAAAAATTACAGATCAGAGTGTAGCTAAATCATAAGTCTAAAATCAGACAACACCTTCAAGCGATTTTTTCAAAAACAGAATCCAACGAAACAGGATAGACAGAACCTAGAAACTGGTACCAAATTATAGCAGAAAGAAGATGAGTAAGGCAAAAAAAAGTGGAGACGAGTTATGTTTTGTTATGTTGGTTAGGGCTATAAAACAGTTGTGTTATTTGCGTTTATGTTTGTAAAAGTCTAAGTTCTCACTTGTCTTAAAGCCTTGTGATCATTTTTAACAGATTACTCGTGTAAATCATGTTCTTATCAAAAATGTTCTATGATATTGCTATCTGCAGAAACAGAGTATTCATAATGAAACAGAAGACAATGTTTTCTTCGTAAACATAATAGTAAATTAAAACATCGGATCAAAATAGTAAAGATGTTTTGTCTTCTTAATTAAGCCGATCTGATTTTTCCTCCCATATTGTTCTTGGGGGAATACAAGCCACCACGATCTCAACCTCATCCAGCTTCTTTACCCATTTGTTGTATTGTGGAAACATCTCATCCGTAATAACTCCCACTCCCATTTTTACTAAAACCACCATCTATACACTCTATAGACCAAATCAAAGTTTTAGTAAAAATGGGAAACACATTTGATGAGCTGGATAAAAACAACCATAACCGAGAAAATCAAACCATTTTAAACTGAAAAAAGTTATTTGGTTTGGTTATAGTATAACTTAAAATTTTATTTGGTTATCCTTTTTTCTAAAGTTTATTTGATTTTAAACTGAAATTTTTTTAGTTTGGTTTGGTTCAAAACTATATCTAATAGTTTTTTCGCTTTTAATTTTTTTTTATAACTATTTATATTTTATTAATTTAATCTAGGTTCATATTTTTATTGTGCTTTTTTCATTAATGAATATTAATTTAATTTAATTAATTTTAAGATATGTGTTGATAAACTAGCATTATAAGAAGAAGAGATGATATTTTACTTTATATATATCAAATAGTTTAATTTTATGAATTCGTAAGCCAAACATGACTCTGCAAATATATAATAGTTTAATTATGAGTAGATAACTTTTATTTAGCGGGGCTATTTGATAAAACATTTATTAAGTACTACCAACACGATTGTGGATGATAAATTTCTTATGCACTACCAACATTTTTCCACTACTGAATATTATTATGTATTTAAGGTTCAAATATATATTATTATTAAATTATTATTAAGAATTAGGTATATAACTCGCGTTACGCGGGAGTCTGTATTAATATTTTGGTTTATTTTTTTAGATACTATCTTTAAAATTATTAAAAATTATATATATTTATAGAAGTTTTCATTTATATAATAGAATTTAATATATAATGTGTAATTT